TTATAAAAAGAAAAGAAAGCGTTTTGTCTGACGCGTTTTATGAATTCCTCGGAGTCTTCTCGGTACAGTCTAATGACCGTCTCGGTGATATGATGAAATATTTAAAAAAATGTAATGTCATGATACATCGTGTAATTATTTAGATTATATTATAAAATTACAAAGTACACTGAAATCGGAAACAATTACATAAATATCATTAAATTGAAAAAACAGTCAAAAAACCCTCAGTAATAATATTAAGTCAACGTGATACAGGCGCGCGTTCAAGTCTTTTCGTTCAATGGCCTCTTCAAGGGAACTAGGAAATGGCAGTTATAAACAAAAAAACTTGTATCCACAATAGCCATCGATGTTCGTTAAATATGTATAGCATATTTAAATTTAATCACGACTCGTACATACTAAAAAAGCGACGATATTTCGAGAAATAATAAAGCAAAAAGTAGTTTCGGACAGTGATATTAACGTATTCAAGGTTGCAAAGTTCATGTTAGACGTCATATGGACACCGATCATAGGTGCCGTCGAAACGATCAGCTGATCTTATGGTGATATGTGAATCATTTCTGAATACTTGTGCTAACAGTTCATTTGTTCTAACATATCTTAGCATGAATCAGATGATTCAACGAGGTTCGTTGACATTACTTTTTCATTGCAAATGAAATTCCTTGTCTTTGATAGATGTGTGTGGTTTAGCAAAATATAAACTGCAATATAACTAAAATGGCTTTAGTGTACAGAATAAACCGATATCAGAGTCGGACCTGCAGACCAATTCTGTTAATATTTAAGTAATAATCCCATCTTATTATCATAGAACATTAACGAATTGCATTTTACCATTATACTATGTGCTATCTATCGAATCACTCAACTTGTTTACCGAACTTGAAACTGAAAAAAGACTCAAAGACAGAAAATACTGCTACAGGCGATGGATCAAAATGCGAGAAATTGCTACGGACTACTACAGGGAACTACACAAAACGAATAATGATAACAGTTCTGAAGAGGAATATCCTTTTTTTCAGGACGAGATCACTCAATTCAATCACACAAAAATATCACAAAGCGCTAGGAGAAGACAAAATAACGAATTAATTGCTGAATAAAATTATAGACATATAGAGATACTTGGGCCAAATTATTGCAACCAACCATCAAATCACAAAGGAAATTCCTAGAAGAGTTAACAACAGCTGGGCTCGTTATTTGTCAATTAAAGAAGTTATTAAAAACAAAGAGCTCCTCATACAAACCAAAGGAAAAATTTTCAATACATGCATTCTCTCAGTTCTAACTTATGGTTGCCAAACCCTCACAAGCAGTGCTATACAAAAAATAAAAGTGTGTCAACTAGTGATGGAAGGGAGCTTGCTGGGCATAACATCGTCAGATAGATGGCGCCTCAAGACCATAAGAGAAAAAACGAAAGTAGAAGATGCGATTGGTAGGGTAAAAAGACTTAAATGGCGATGGACAGGACACATGATGAGATCAAATAAAAATAAATGGACAAATCAGATCACGATATGGAAAAAGAAAAATATGAAGACAGACAAGATGGGTAGACGAAATGCCAAAAGAACGGAAAAAATCTTTACTGATAGGTGGAAAAACCTGGAGGAGGCCTATGTCAGAGGACAGTCTGATGTATAAAATGTAGCTTAAATTTCTAAATGATCAGTGAATAAAGGCTATTTTTATTTAATTTTTTATTTTTTATTTTATTGGTTTAAAGTACAATATTATTAGTGCAATGTCTTTCTCACACATCAATTGTGACAGATATACATAAAATTCATTCACTTCATCTTCAGATATAAGCATACTTGTAGTCCTTTTATCACACAGGCAACAATACGCATATTTCAGAGAAGGTACTTTGATGTATTTTTATTTTGGCTTACCCACTATAACCCACATGGCCGGCACCAAGCGGTCAGACTCATTCTTTAGAGACAAGATGTGACAAATTTCTACTGGGTTAAGGGATCGAATGAAGTGACTTCATATAATAGTGATCGAACATCACTTCGAATTTCGTTTTAGTTATTTATAATATTGGACTTTAAGTAGATTTTACAATGGCAAAATGCATGTAGAGATCCTATTGAGATGCTATTATCACGTAAACATAAGCAGAATTGATCTGCTGATAAGTTTTACGTGTGCTTTACTTTTGATATCGAGTCAAATATCATAGAGAAGTTTATCAAGAAACAACGTCACCTAACCAGTTGTCCATGGTGGGGGTTAGGTGGGCGTGCCGGTGACGCTATGACGAAACACCTCACTTTGTGCAAGTATTATTGTGAAACATATTGACGGAGGCGAAACTAGCCGCGCCATGGAGGCCAAGATGTCTTGAATAATAAGTCGCTACAGACAGCGAAACTCCAAGAAGACCAAATATGAAACGTTTGTCGCGAAATTGAAGATGAATGACTTATGCAACGAGTGGTCTTATACTACCGTTTTATATCTGGCGAGTTTTATGTAGAAATTCTTAAAAAAACGCTTTTACCTTTTTTTCAACTCTACCAGTTCATGATTTTCTTTTTTTCAAAATCGATTCGTGATAAATTCTGAACCAATAAAATTAGGAAGTAGGTAACTATTTAAAAGGGGGGGGGGGCGATAGAAAGGTCAGAGTTCATATCAAAATATTATAATATACTAAGAATCTCTTAGCGTCTTAGTAATAAATAAGATAAATAATAGTAGCCAATATTTTTTAACTATATTTTCTTTTAAACTTTTTTTTTTTGAATGAGAATGTTTTCTTTTTTTAGGAAAATGTTATTTTAAGCAAACTGCGCCGAAACCAGTATTGCGTAGTTATAATTAACATAGGACAAAAATTAAGTAATAAGTTATACGAGTAGATACTCAAGTTCAAGATAAACCAGATATTCCACTATATTGAACATTTAACAAAAAATGATTTTGTATAAAACACACTAGGAAGTGAAGTAGCCGTCTATGCGACAGTGTCGATTGTTACATGATGTTCATATATGTATGTTCCTTTATTCCCATGGTCGAAGTCGCATGCAAAAACCTAAAGATACGACCTCACAACACAACGTTTTAGGCCACACATACAATAAAATTAGATACGAGTTTGGATTTCCTCATACTCCATTTGTGTAACTATGAGTAAACTATCCGTTAAATTATTTATAGATACACGCCTATATAACTTTGATAAAATCCATCACTACTATTTGTATTACAACCTTTATGTTTCTTTATCTGGATAGATTATGATAAAAAATTTATCAGCTTCGTAAAATAATACTTACTGTTAAAATTATACATTTATACAAATGTATATTTCAGACTAAAAATGATGACGCTCAGACGACTCGTGCTCCCAATCTCCCGCTTTTGTTGAAGTCATATCTTAAATTCGTCGCGCGCCCAGCTGATTGGTTTGTTTACACGACAACATATGTCTATCAAAACAAACAGCGCGATATCATACGACCATGCTTGTTACGTACATTTTAATATCATACATTATTTGCGTTCCGTATTGAGGTTATTAAAACAAGTTCGATCGCTGATTAACAATATCAGGTTAATATGCCGTCATACTAAAAAATCTGTATCAAATTTAGCGGGCAATCTTAAGCGGAAATTTAATTTTAATAATCCGCAATGATAAATGAATCATTATCACCGACTAACACTTGTGTAAAGTACACTAAAGATAATTATTGTGTTTATGTAGGCGCTTTAGAGTTCCTTGAAAACTACAATGCGAGTTAAAAATCTTATTTTGATACTCAAATCGTAAACATAAATGACCGGACGTGAGGACATTAGCCCAGCTGACGTAAGATATGTTTTTATATTAATTATCTGCATAAAATCTACTATTTTCGGGACGACAAAATATGCTTAATTGATTACTGGGTCAAAGCGGATTAATAGAACGTGACAGGGCATTGTTATTGACATGACATTGTAGCTTCATCGAATAGTATTATAAAATTTTACTTTTATTACTCGATTAACATTCATCTCCGTTATGTAATTAAGAAATAGGTTAATGGTACAAGAAAATCGTCATAGTAAAGTACTGTAAAATTAAAAAACTTTTGTATAAGGTTTCGTTCGGTGATTTCGCATAGTCAACTGTGATGGAAGTCATTAGACGTGCTCATCTACCAGCCATTTCATCATCTGTTATGCAATGAGATTACGCAAACTCAAGAGTGCATGGTCGTATGATAACTATCATTGTAGTAGAAATGAACGAGAACGTCTAGCAAACAAAGCGATGCGAAATTATTTCGTATCTATATAGAAGCGAAATTATATTCTTTATTATGAAGAGAGAAAATAATTCCCATAAAAATTTTGAACTTTATTTCAATGAGATATGACGAGAAAAAAGCAGTTACTACATTTTTAAAACATTGGATCTATAACTGCAGTCTTGCATTTTATTTAGATGCCATTATTATGATTCAAAGATGACATTTAAAGGATGTATTACGATTAAAAGAGTCATATGTTATACCAAGAAAACCAGAAGTATTTCGACTGACTCAGTTCGTGAGAAAATATAAATAAGCGAGACGCTTAGTCATACAGTCATACTTTTTGTAGAAAATAATCAAACAATTGAGAGCTGTTAAGTTCACGGTAAACTAATATTTACTATATTAATAAACATCAGTACACGTTTTTGTGTACAGCTAACCGTATATTACTCTGAATTAATAAAATGAGTAACATTAATTATTCAATCGTAAGTTAAACAGGTTAGGTAGTAAACAAATAACGATCAAAATAAATTTAGCAGGATTCGAACCGACAAATATTGGATTTTCAATTGGAAGATTTCGCATAACAGCATTTAAAGTTGATATGTATTTAGAGCCAATCTCTACAAAGCAATCTAATTTCAATTTAATAACAAATTATTTAACTTACTTCATAGTGGGTGGAAGAGTAAATAATAAATACAGTTTCTTTTTAAAAAATATTACGTTTATTGCAAATTCTGCAATTCGAAGGCACATACAATATTTCCTTGTACGCGAACTCCGGCAACGTAATGTCACTAAAAAAGTCCATTTCACACATTTAAAGTTTCGACATATTATTTGTCATCAATTTCAGTTCATGTCCATAGAACAGTCGTCATAATATATATTCGATTTGTCACTATATGTTAGGCAGCACATACCAACGGATCGTATGGCTGCAACACGGGCAGATTTGAAGTGCGCGATCCTGTTTGGTTGACAGTTGCTCGATCTCGATGCACCATCAGAAGCACTAAATCTAAAGCGGCACGAGCGTCCTCCACGGGCGAGTGGCCACCACTTTTTCGATTCCTGACTGGACGTCCGAGTACTTCTATTGATAAGGAACGCAGAGATCGACGCAACGGAAATCCTCTTGCGTGAGGATACAAATCACTCGTATCCACCACAGCGCTGTGGAGTAATTTCAACGCCCTTAGATCGTTCTCTAGTGCGTGCCCGATTAAAATTGTGTCTGTGCCCACGAAACCGAGTATGTCATTTTGCACGTCTTTAAGTGTCTTCTCGGCTGTCTGTAGGTCGCGAGGTCGAATGCCGGAGAAACGAGTGTTACAATCCACGACTGGCGAGGTAGGTTTCACATACTCTTTGTAAACAATGTGGCCATCGACTGCTATGAAAGCTATTGAGGCCAATTCGAAACCGGCGGTCGTGTAACACATCTCAGCGTCCACGGCATACACTCCACCGCGACGATGACGTGCACGCACATATCCTTCGAGAGGTCCGTTCATCCCAGGTTGCGTGCCACTCCACACATGAAAACGAGATATAGAGCAACCATTCGCCCCCACATATTTATTGCAACATTCGAATTTGTTGCCCAAAACACGACCCCAATGATGAAAACATGACTCTTCCCGAATATAGTCCCCATCACGAGTCATTTTGAATTTTTTATCGCATCGCACACACACATGTTCCACTGTATCCGCTTCTTCATCACTATCAGAGCGAGGTGTTGAACCCCAAGAACTTCGTCCACTGTCAGTTTGTGAGCCCGGCACAAACTCTGGAGCGTTCACGTCCCAGGAAGTCGCCGGTCGAGGTTTAGGCCGAGTTGGCGGGTTTACATACATCATAGCCTTAGTTGAATTTGTCTCTATTTCAACAGGATAACCACGTGCCCACATGGTAGTTTTTGATAGAATATACTTTTGAAGATGATGCACTAATTCTTCTACCGGAATCCTGGGGGGCGGCGGCGGCGACGGCGGTGATGACGGCGGTTGCCGCCGGTGCTGCTGTTTTTGCTGTCGTACTGCAATGCCCGCAGTCTCCACCGTCGTGATGGTTTCTTGATAAAACCAATCATGGAGTTGAATACAAAAATGCATTTTTGTTGTCTATCTTGTATACACATAGAGTCGAGAGAGCGAGCGCGGAGCGAGAGCCGACGATACGTGTTACGGCGCGCACGGGCGCTGAACTAATGGCGGGCTGGTGGGGCAGCCCACGCTTTATACGACGTCACGTAGGTAGCGCGCGTTCGTTAACGGGACATGTCGATCGACCGGCCTATTCTCATTTTCCTAAACAATAATTATCTTCTTTGTTGATAAAGACAAAGAGGTAACACCCTATATGTTACTATACACCCTTATTAATTATCTTAATAGTTTCACGAAAGTCACAGTGCAGGAGCGAGCGATTCGCAAGTTTTGTTTACACGATCAGCTGATGTGATAGCGACGCCACCCGTCACAGTGAGGTGTGCATTCAATAAACTTTTTTTTATAAAAACTAGAGAAAACTAAATAGACCGGAACTTTTATATTATGTCTTCTCAAAACATTTTCTAATTAAGTGTAGTTAATAATGTCATTAATTAACGATTACGTGGCAAAATAAATATTCAACGTCAAAATCATAATCATTATGTAATTATGATATTGTAATATATTATTGATTTAAATGTTTGTAAGTCAAATATTTGCAGGGATCATTATTTAGAATGAGACTACTATTCCTCACATTCATACGTACTTTAAAACAAGTATTCAGTAGTATTATAGTTAAATCGTCAACGTATGTAACGTATTTATATTTGCAACGTTTTTGTCTGAGAGACGCAAATTATTACTCCGAGATGGGAGGCCAGTGGCGGCAGGAAGGACGGCCATTGCCCTCCCGACTCTAAATTCACTCGCAAAATAATATACTAAACGTGCAGGATGCCACTATAAAACAGGTTATACCGAATCAAGATCAACGAGCAATAAATTCATACGAAAATAGGAAAGGTTAACACCGAAATAAGGTTCAAGCGATATTTTTAAAGTTAAGGTCAGTCGTACATTTATTAAAGTAACTTAAAAAAGGATAAACAAATAATCGGTAAAACTTCAACAACGCTACCAAAAGCTTCCATTTTTATTTTTGTAAAGAATATAATGTACGAAACATAAAAGGAAGAGCGTTTACCGACGTTTTTAAAAGGTAAGATTGATGAAATACTTGTGTCTAATTCTATTGTAATGAGGTTTTGCGATAACCCTATCAAACACTAAAGATAAAATGTTATCTAGGCTTCGATTGTGTATTAATATAGTGCAAATGCACCATACATCATATTAGAAGTGACATTGTGTGTCAATTACGATATCAAAACACAATTTCATTACGATAAAGCACTACTATTAAAAGTGAATTGGTATTGTTTGTTTTGATAATACACATTTATTATACGGTAAACAGGATTATCGGTGTCTGTGAATAATTGAAATACGTTCCTGTTGATTGTATTAACAAATCCGCGTGGTAAATAAATCTACTTTCGTTGGTGATTCTATCTCGGCTTCGCTATCGGGCGCGTGTAGCCATGAAGGATATTACGATGCGATCATTCACGTTTGCGAACTTTACGTGTTGTGTATCGTATGAGTGTCACATGTGTGTGGGTGCGACTGGTCGCTGACTCCACGCCGATAACCTTCGAATCGATGTCAAATGCGTATAGAACCGAACTGTTATCATACTCTTTAAAGCTATTTAGCGGACGGTACGATTCGAAAATCATACTCCTCAAAGTTTAAACGGTCAACAGATTTATTTATGAATATATCAACTTATGTTTGTATACAAAAGCACGCATGGGCGTGACTGGTCGCTGGCATCGGGGCGGCGATAACCTTCAAATAGATGTTGAACTAGGGTCGCCTATAGACTACTCGCAAAATGGAATCAGTCGTAAACATGCATAAAGTTAATGCACTCTGGTTTTTTTTACATCGAATATTACTTTTATGAAGATTATAAACGCCATAAAACCATATGAAAAGTCTACATATAATTATATTACATAAGATTAGAAACCGTAAAATAGTATGTTATGATAGAATGCCGATTAACAAATTCCGAAAAGTAACTATTTCAAACCTATACTGATCGAAAGATAATGAATTATTATAGAACCATATCGTAGAACTAGAAGTTTCCTCAAACAAAAAAAAATCGATCAAATCTTTCCCCATCTAGAAATCAAAACAGTACCTTTAGATTTAGAACTCTTATATTTACATATAATGTTGGTTAGCCTCTGACAATCAAAAATTCTCAAAACAATTCTCAATTTTAAATGAATTACCTATAAAAGAACTGAACTATAAGAATTTGCTGAAAGATTATTTATTTTAAAACACGTGGTATTTACAAATGTACACTTGCCAACCTACACAACCTTTGTGTTCAATGTACCCTTTAAATATTCAAAGGACAATTAGGGCAACGTTGGTGTTTTTGAAATAAGAACGCGTGAACGTGACTAATGATAATACTTTCTAAGAAGAATAAAAACAAGCTTCATTATACTAATATTATAAAGAGGAAAGATTTGATCGTTTGTTTGTTTGCATCGAATAGGCTCCGAAACTATAAGGCCGATTTAAAAAAAATATTTCGCTTACGGATAACTACCGGTTGACATAGGCTATAATTTACGCGTGCACAGTAGCGGGAAAACAGCTAGTGTCCAATAAAGGAAACAGCGGACTTATATTTTTACAATAACTTAATTACTTGTTAAACAAGACCAAAAAAAGAATGAAATCAGAACTTTAACCTCTTGAGCACTGGTCATATATCATCACAGTAATGACAATGTAATTTCGATAAAACTTTTGATAATATATCGGGTTCAAAAGACCTGAGGTGCAACCCTCTCTAGGCATAGGACACAACGTCTTAGATATGTTATGACGACATTCCATTTCATTTTACTACTTTCAGGTGTCTTTTGGCGGATAAATGACTAAGTTTGTATAATCATTCGTTATCATAAGATATTATAGAAAATACCGTCGTCTTGATTGGACTTTCTTTAACGACATATTGTTCTTTTAACAATACAATAATAAAAAAATAAGTCCCAAGTCTACAATCCAGTATGCCAGACAGCTTGACAAGTCGCTAGCACCTAAAGAGTCTATAACAGTTATTAAAGTACTATACCAAAGTAAACGAAACCTCGCCATAACATCGCTAAGATGCTGTATCCTATAGCTAGAGTCTGCTGTTCAACGTCTGTTATTTATTATCGAAAATTCTAATATTTTCACTTTCAAATGACATATTGCAGGGTTCAAGAATAACATTTAGTACTTAAGCACCGAGTTTGCGATTATAGTTGCGTCAACGTATAGTAGACAACACAACAAATGTAGTACAGAATGGAGAGAAAGTGTCGACTGACGAAATAGTATGTCACATTCGTCTTTAAACAATTCTAAAGGAGAATGTAGCATAAACTTATTTATCTGAATTATCAAAAGGTTTATCTCTATTTCATTGTTATATTTAACGTATCGTATTGTAAACAAAATTATTTTTATATACAATCATAGACTTAATATTTTCGCTCTGGTTTAGGTTATTTATCACTTAATTTGCAAAAAATTAATGACATAATAATTAATTTTCAAACGAAGGTAATTTAGTAATTTATCCTTTTAACTTTAATATTGCTATTGTTCTGTAAAATTACTACTTAACTGATTAGACCTTAACAATATTGACGAGGTTATGATAGTCCTAAATACCCGTAATATTATTGAAACAGGACAGTTGTTCTGAAATAGAGCTTTTGAAACCATATAAATGCAAAATTATCATTATTATATTTATAAATTTTGCATTCACGATATTTGTGTTTATATTTGTAAGTGTGTTTGATAACAAAATAATAAATATGTATTAAAGACTTAGTATAACACCTAGTATTAAAGACTTTGATTGTTTGTTTTGGATTGAATATGCTCCTAAATTACTGGACCAATTTTAAAAATTCTTTCACCTACGAGTAGCTACTACATCATATGCACCCGCTAATATGCTATAATTTACGAGAGCGATGTCGGGGGAAAACAGCAATTTTTAGTTAAATAAAATTGCGTATAAGACCCGTTTTATACCTATAAAATTAAACGCCTACTTGTGATGTGTTTACTCACAATCGCGGTCAGTGGGCCAGGGCAAAGCGAAGAGTATTACCGGAACTTAAATTCATTTTCAGTTACCTAATTTGAACCGGTATGATCGGAGACCTTGACAGAGTACAATGGATATGATACATGGAAGATGCGATTGACGTGCACTCTTTTGCAACAAGGTTAAGTGTATTAGTGCAATTTGAGACGTTCGAATTGATATCCTACTGCAGATTTTGTTGTAGGTGAGAAACATATGGATCGATTGGATATTGGAAATTATTGATGATAACTATAGATTATATCGATAACAAAGGAAAGGAAGGTAAATAAAGACTTTAAATTAGACGCCAAAAAACGTATGGAAAAATAAAAGGTTGGTTAAAGATTCGAAAAATATGGATCGTGAATATTTTTTTTTTATGTTCAATCTGAGATTTGTAATAGAGAAAATTTTATACAACACAGTTGTTTCGAAGCAAAATGTTTACATCCTTTCTTCTTTAATAAACTCCGACGAGATCATACTGGTTCGGTATGTCTGAACGTGACAAACTAAAAATAATGCAGTTTTTATCGATTTTCTGAGAATTTCACAAGAGATGAGAATGTATTAATAATGTTTTGTGTAAATTTCTTCCATTATAAGGACAATTAGGATGAAACTTATTTAAGGTATTGCCACGTGTCTAATGACAATGAAATTTAAAACAACATATTAGTAAATAAACCGCATTGTAGCGATAAAATAAGAATCGTATGTTACACTTTAGAACTCTAAATTCGTCTCCAGTTTGCGAACAGTGAAAACTTTTTCGTTTATAAATCGACGAGCGAACTTCATCACTTCGGGGTGAAAGTTGCCCATCATCCA